GGGAGGGTAGAGGGACGGCGCCGGAGAGGAAGGCCCTCTATGAGGTGGATTGATTCAGTGACTGGGATAATTGGGATGGGAGTATCAGAGACAGTGCAATTGGCACAGGACAGAGCGGAGTTTAGGGCTGTTGTACATAGGGTCGCTATGAGTCACAGGCGACTCGACGGCACATAACAACAACAACAACAACACTGATTCAGCCTGTGCCCTGACCCAGATCCTTCCCCCATTAATGTCCACTCACTCCCCTAGCATCAGTTTAAGCATCATTCCTCAAAGAAGTCCCTGACCCCTCAGGTTAGGTTAAGTCACTTCATACCTGTGCATCTTCTCTGAAGTCTCCATTACAAATAGAATTTGCTTAATCTATGTTTCCCTTCCCAAACTGTAAGGGGTGGATGGCATGTGTCTTATATGCCACTGTGTTCCTAGCACCGAGCATATAATATTTAAGAAAGGAATGAATGAATGAATGAATGCTGTCTCTAACTTAAACTTTTCAGTGGCTTCCCACAGCTTTTAGGGTAATTTAGAATCCATGGCCAATCATGATACAACCCTTATCAACCTCCACAGATCATAGTCTCAAACCCTTGGCTCCAGTCAGATGGAAATACTTGAGATCCCAACTATATCATGTTGTTTAATAATCCCATGTCTTCTCACAGACAGTCCTATCTATCTGATATGCTCTTTTTGCTAACTCTTAATTTGTATAAATTAGGGATCAGGCCTCCCTGGTCCCATCTGACTTAGGTGTCTTTTATTGGTGTTCCCATAGTAACTCCTCCAGGGTTCTCCCTGGCCATCATCCCTCACATCTACTTGGTTGCCATTTCTTGACTTTCTGGCTCCTTCCTACATTATTCCCTTGTTTATCCCTTACTGTTGGTGTTCCTCAGGGTTCTCCCTGAGTCTTCCTCTTTTCTTCTACTCTTTTCTTCTACTACACAGTGTCCTCCACTGTTTCCTCACTACTACACGTGAGCTCCACCCCTACCCAGGTTTTCAGTGGTCCCCACTTACATGTGTATGATGCTCTGGTCCTTATCTCCACCTCCACCTTCTCTCCTGATCTCTAGACTCATAATTTCAAGTGTCCATGGACATTCCCGCTTGGGTGCCCCACAGGCATCATAATGACGTAAAGAACTGAAACCACCACCTGGCACTGTCCCCAAACCAGCTCCTCCCGTGTTTGCATCTTGCACCGATAGCATCACCATCACCGATCACTGGCCTCATGCTAACAGCCATTCTAGACTGTTCCCTCTCCTTCATCACTTCCCCTGTCCTCTCCCAATTATTCCCAACTTCTTCAAGACCAAATTATTTTGCCTTCTAATTATCTCTTCAACGTCTCCCATCCCCCTCATTATCCCATGGTTTTGCATAAACCTTCATTATTTCTCTTTTGGATAACTGGTCACACCCTCACTGGTATCTCTCCAGGCAGTCAATCTTGTACCTCTGAAAACTACCCTCAGTGCTACAGCCTGATGTATAACTGAAGAGCAAATCTAATCATGTCACAGCTCCGTTTTAAAATCTTCCAGTGATACCCAGAAGCCGTCCATTCTAGCATTGCACCCAGTCCATTTACTGTCCCTGCTTCTTTTCTTTCTGAATCAATCTTTCAACATTCTTCCACATGGAAACACCTGTAATTCCCCATACTGATATATTCTTCCTGCTCATACCTCTGTCCTCACACTTTGCTTACTGAGAGTTCCACCTCCTACTTATTTTTCTCTACACTCTTTGTTGTCCTTTCAGGTTCAGCTCAGACTCTAATTATCTCCTTGGGGAAACCTTCCCTACCCATCACCACCCAAGATTGTGCTCGCTGCTGCTCCAGAGTTCTCTTGCCAAAACCATCATATCGTTTATCATTTGTTTATTTGCCTCTTTCCTTTGCTAAGGCAGTGAGCTCCTCTGGGACAGAGAACAAGTATTTTTTTTTGTATCCTCAGTACTTTTAACTTCCAACATGTAGTACCCCATTTCTGTCAAGTTGCTTCTAACTCACGTTTGATTCAGACTTTCAACGACTTCATGTACAACAGGTGAAAACCTTGCCTGACCCTGTCCCATCCTCACAATCTCCCCTGTGCTTATGCCATTGTCAGACCGTCTCATGAAGATCTTCCTCTCCTTCGCTGCTGTTTTTCCAAGCCAGATGTCCTTTTCCAAGAACTGGCCCTGCCAGATAACATGCCCAAACACACCATGCTTTCCTCTAAGAGGCATCCTGGCTGCATTTCTTCTGAGACAGATAGCTACCATATTGTGCAGTAGAGCATCCCCATAGGGCTTCCAGGGCTGCAGGTCCTTATGGAAGCAGAATAGGACATATTTTTTTCCCATGGAACAGTTGGTAGGTTCAAATGACTGACCTTTTGGTTCGTGGCCGAGCACTTAACCACCATGCCATCAGAGTTCCTTTAATATATGTCATGCTGGGAAAGGTGAAGTGTCAGAGAAAGAAAAGAAGACCCTTTACAAGATGACTTGACACAGTGACTGTAACAAAGGGCTTGAGCAATCAGAGACTGTGAGGATTTCACAGGAAAGGGCAAGGTTCAGATCTGTTGTTTATAAGGTTGCTATAAGTCAAAGTTCAAAGGATGCGCTCCACTACTGCCCTTCTCTGTTGGTACTGCAGTCTCTCCTCTGTTGTTACGTGCCATTGAATCACCCTATATACAACAGAATCCTGCCCTATCCTGAGCCATTCTCACTAACTCTAGCACACTTACCTCTATTACCCATTACTGAATCAATCCATCTCATCTGAGGTCTTCCTCTCCTGTGCTATCCCTCTAGCTTTCCAAGCATAATGTCCTTCTCCAAGGATTGGTTCCCCTTGGCCACTTGCCAAAGTATGTGAGATGGCCCTTCAAAAGCCTAGCCTCCAAGGAGAAACTTGGTTTCACCTCTCCAAGGCAAATCTGTTTATTCTCTTAGAGGTTCGTATTATGTTCAGTCCTCTTCTCCAGCACCACAACTCAAAGGTATCGATTTTTCTTCTATCCTTAATCATTGTCTAGCTCTCTGATGCACAGCAAGTAATTGTGAAGACTATGGCCTAGATCAGGCACACCTTAGTCTCTAGACTGACATCAGTACTCTTTAGCACTTTGGGGAGGCCCCTGACAGCAGACTTCCCCAATACAATTTGTCCATTGATTTCCTGACTGCTGCTGCCAAGAGTGTTGATTGTGGAGTAGAACAAGCTGAAATTAACAACAATCACAATCTCTTCTCCGCCTGTCATGCTGCTGCCAGTTGTCCCAGTGGTGAGAATATTTGTCTTCTTGACATTGAGCTTCAATCCATATTGAAGACTACAGTCGACCTCCTGCAGCAGATGTTTCAGGTCCTTCTCAGTTTTGGTAAGCAATGTTGTGTCATCTGCATTACATAAATTGTTGATGAGTCTTCCTCCAGTCTTGATGCCACAATCCTCCTCATAAAGCCCAGACTCCTGAGTGATCTGTTCCGCATACAGATTGAAAAGATATGGAGACAGGTTGCATCCCTGACACACTCCTTTCCTGATTTTGTGCAATAAAACTGTTTCATGTCTGTGAGGCAAAATGTTCTCCTTACATAAGACCTGGGATCTGATGGGGTTAAACAGCTATGTGGTTTACAAGGTCATGGGAATTGTTACATAATTTGTTCATTACATCATTACACTGTGTGTGTGTGTGTGTGTGTGTGTGTGTGTGTGTGTCCAAATTGGATCTGACTGGTACAGGAGGAAAATTGTCTCTCCTTCTCCAGCAGAGCATCTGGTGGATTCGAACCATGTACCTCTGGGATTGCAGTGCAGCTTCTTGCCACTAGGCCACCAGAACTCCCCTTACATACATGTATTTTGAGGGAACATAGTTCAGTGCATGACAGATCTTGGACAATCTAGTCACTGTCACTTTTCTCCTACTTCCTCATCTGCCTAAGAACACTGTCTTTCTTGTCGTTGATCAGACACATCACGCCTTTTGGTTCGCACATTCTTTCCCTTAATTATCCTCATATTTTCTTTCCTTACAACTGTAAATCTGTTTTATACCATTTAAACCCCCCTATTTAAACAGCACTTCCCCACTCTAACTTTCTATCTCCTAACACTTCTTTATTCTTCTTTATGTTACATTTTATGTTCTTTATGTCATATAATCCTTGGATTATGACTCAGTTACTTTCCTAAGTCTTGGTTTAAGTCAATTTTGTGCGAACAGTTAATCATGGTTCATATCTAGTAACAGTGAGTCCGGGTTTATCATAGTATATAGCAAACCTTTCTATGCGTAAAAAAAAATTAGGGGGAGCTCTGGTGGCCTAGTGGCAAGGAGCTGCAACTACAATCCCAGAGGCACATGGTTCGAATCCACCAGATGCTCTGCTGGGGAAGGAGGGACAATCTCCTCCTGTACCAGTCAGATCCAATTTGACAGCACACTCACACAAAAATGATAAAATAAAATTTAAAAAATTAAAGAAACACTTTAAGGTACACTAAAATACCTCTAGCATACGTTAATAAGAGTAGTAATATTTTTACGTACATTGCAAAGTGGCACTTTTTTGTTATTATGAACTGTTGTATGTACCTCAAAATCTTGATATATTTTAATTTAATTTAATGCACTTAGAGTGTGTTTTCTATTTCTTTACTTAAATGTCCATGTATTTACTTCAATTTATGTTTCATTTGAATGTTTTTTAGTATTTTCTTAATCCTTAATATGACTTTATAGCTATGGGTTGTGTGAAGTCAGACATTCCCCTGCTCCAGGAGTCCTTTTACCCTCCAGGTACTGACTGACTCCTCCAGTGCTGGGCAGGCAAGCGGACTCCTGGTCACTCACCAAGCGGGAGTTGTAGATGGGTGATTTGATGGGCGTGGTCACTGGGCAGTTGATGCGTTTCTCTTTCTGGCGACGGTTGCAGAACCAGACCCTCACCACCTCCTTCTCCATGGACAACTGCTCTGCGATCATGGAGATTTCCTCAGAGCTTGGCTTGGGGTTCTACAGGGAGAAGAGGGCCAGAGCCTGGTCAGGAGGCAAACAATGCAGGCATGGGGACTGGGGGGGGGGAACTACAGGTGCTTCAAGGAAGCAAGACAGGTCAAAGACTTCAGTCACACAGGCCCAGGATGAAACATCTATTTACTGCATCTCCTTCAACAGCAAAACTCAGTTCCTGGCTATTGAATGGAAATGACTCACAGGGGTTCTTCCCCTGGGCCTCCAGACTTGTAAATCCAGTAAAAGAAGAATGTCCATCTGTTCCTGCTTAGCGACTGGTGGGCTTGAACCACCAGAGAGGAGAAGTTTTGGGATAGCAACACAACTCCCTACAGACACCAGAGCTTTTGTGAGTATTTAAAAAAACGTGTTTAAAGTCTCTGAGCTTTGGTTTTTATCATTCATGAAATAGGTAAACAAGGTTTAGGAAGAGTTAAATGTCAAAATGTGTATAAACTAGCCAAAATAGGGCCTCGCCACAGAGCCAAGGCTCCATGAATGCAGATTCTCCTCTCTCTCTTTCCTTTAGAGATGATGAGGTATGTGAGGCAGGCAGGTTCCTCACAACCCAAATTGTGTTCTTCCTTCATAACTTGGCATCCTTCTTTTCTGTCATCTGTTCCCATCCTCCATCAGAACAGAGGAGATAAAGCTAATACGCAGAGTCCCAAGACTGTAGGACATATTGACACATTATAAAGGTGTCACTCCCCTCCTCTCACCCCTCCTACTAGGTGTATGATCTCATGCCTTCTGCCTTATACCTCCTCCTATTCTTGCTGCTCTGAAAAAGCTAATCATAAGGGCAAGCCCATAGCTATACCAGTAAGATGTTGACCCAAATCCTTCAGCCAGGTACACTGAGAGACTTGCCACAGGTCTTAGAGGCCTGGGACCTGTGAAATAGGACTAGGCCATGGGCTAGCCCTTTGGGGACCTGTGTGCTAAGGATGGAGGCTCTGGAGACTGGTATCTAAGAGATCCTGACTAGAACCTGTTTAAACGCTCCCCATTTCGCCTCCTTCCTCCCCCATTCCCACAGGGCTTGTGTACAGGAGTATTAGCTTCACATACTGGTTCAAGAATATGCTCTGAGTTAAAAAAAAGGCACGTACACAGTGTGATCACAAAACTAGAAATGTGCATAAGGAATAAAAAAGGATAAAAAGACTAAGGTGGCAGCAACAGTGTGCTTGGAATAGTGGATATTTTTCATTCTGTTTCAATCCTTATATTTTTCAAATTGTCCACAATTGATTACTTTTAAATACAAAACAAATATAGCTGATATAAAATCAGTACACAAGGCCTTGACTTCATCCCTTTACCTCAGCTGAATTCTCTCCTGGGACCCTGTATCTTATCCTTTAAGGATCTCGGTGTGAAGGTTAGCAGGCCTTGAAATAGATGTCAGAGAAAGAATGGGGAAGAAGTTTCTGTAATCTGAGATGAAAGGCTATTCTTTGACACAATAAGGAACCCTCAGTGGCTTGGGCACCTGGCGAAGGCCTTTTGCTTCCTGACACTTCTCCGGGCGGGCAGGGGTGAGGGGGACAGTCACCTTCCTACCAGTGCTGTGGTAGGCCCCTGGCCATGTCGGTGCTTCACCCATCTGTGGAAGGCAGCCTTCCCTCTCACACCAAAAGGAGTTACTTACGTCTTGAAATCTCTTCTCCAGAGTCAGGCGAATGTTGGTCTCAATGCTGGTCCGTTTCTTCCTCTTCCTCCCAAACACTTCACTAAGGGTGGGGTAGGAGCTGGGGGTGCTGACGGAAGAGTCTGAGGGAGATGACTCTGTGGGAGAGTAGAACAGCAAATCGAGCTCAGGAGGGAACTAGGGGCTGCTGTTGGCTCTGTCTTGATGGACTTGAGGCCCAATAACTATTTCCTGTGCATTCTGTAGGAATTTTCAGGGCCAGTCCTCCCACTCCACAGTAAGGGAACAGAACAGAACTACCAAGAATCTTACCTCTCCTCATCCTTCTACAAAGGTCCTCCATCACTTCAACAGTAGTGTCTCCAGTGTTTACAGTCATGGTTCAGGAGTACCCCAACATCAGTGGCATGTATGGGTGTGAATGAGTGCAAACAGGGTTCTCAAAGTAACCTTCCAGAGCCTTTTTTTATGCTTGGACTGAATACCAGGTGAAACGGGAATTGGCCTCTGAGCTGAAAGGTTGGCACTGAATGGTAGAATATTGGTACTAAGGACATTTCTGTCGTTGGAAGTACTGAAGCTAATGTTGTATAAGCAATAGGCAGAGACATTCCCTTAGGAAGGATCCAGGTATCAGATGAGAGTCAATCTAGAAATGATCTAGAAGATCCTTTCCCAAATAATCTAAGATGCTGTAATAATTTCTCTCACTGCAGTGGCTTACGAAAAGCTTCCTAAGGGAACATCCTGTTGAGGGCAGCTTCCTTGCCCCTCCCCCAGATTTCCATGTGGAGGGACATCCATGAAGGTAACACTCCTGCCTGTCCACGAAACTCTTTCTTCCCTCTCCACAATAACCATGAATCCACCCGAGGCCAGTGAATAGAATCAAGCCCTGGGAAATGACTCTGCTCCTTTCTCTCCAGAGACCTGTGGTCCTCATCCAGGGATGGTTTGCTTGTTCGCTCTCCAGGAGACATTTGTCAGGGTCAGGAGACATTTTTGAGTGTTTCAGCTGGGAAGAGGCATCAGTGACATCTCCAGGCAGAAGCTAGGTGTGCTGCCAAACATCCTGAAGGGCATAGGACAACCCCAAGAGCAAAGACTTACTCCATTCAAAATGCCCATAGTGCCCAAGTTTAGGTGCAATCTGGGTAGCTGTGCTGGCTCTTCAGACCCAGCCTTTCTGTAGTGGCTATCCTAAGATCTAGGTTGTCTGGATCTGGGGTAGCAGTGGAATTGGGAGGCAGGTGTTTTTGCCCACAGTCCTAACTCTAAGAGCTTTATCGGCATTAGAGTGAACATACTCATCACCATGTACTCTCTCCTTTGTCTTACGTTTTACTTGGTTCCAGACTCATGAGAAGAAAGGGGAGGGGAAGAAAGGAAAAATATTTCTCTTCTAGGGCCCTAAAACGGCCCTGTCACCAGCCCCTTCACTACAGAACCCTCTAGGGATCCATCCACATCATTGCCAGGTGCATACCTGCATCATTCAGCCACTTCTCCAGCAGTGGCTTGAGCTTGCACATATTCTTGAAGCTCAGATTGAGGGCCTCAAACCGCGAAATGGTCGTCTGGCTGAAGTCATTGCCATAGAGCTTTCCCATTGCAAGGCCCACATCTCCCTGTGCATGGAGATCAAGGAGAGGACCCTGAGACACAAGCTTCTCCCTGCCTTGCCCACGCTTCCCCCCACCTTGGCATCGATCACCCAACCAGAACCTGTAAACACTTATTCACGCTGGGTCAGGACTTTTCCTGTCTAAGATGGAGAACTGGTTTATTTCTCTCCCTAAACTAAGACATAGGGTCGCTGTGAGTCGCAAACAACTCGATGGCACATAACAACAACAACAAACAACAAACTAAGTTGACTGTGTCTCAGTGCCTTGTCCCTTACATGGATCATCTTCTGCTTCCCTCCCCAGGACTGTCCTCAGTTTGCCTGTCAATGGCAACTCTACCCTATGTTGAGGGAGCACAGAGAGGCTATGGGTTGGCCTCAAACCTCAGGTTGCTCTTGGCACTTGTCTTTGGGAAACCAAGTCTCCTCTTGCTGAACTCAATTTCTTCTAGCTGCTTCCCCTAAATCAAACCTGTGTGAATCCCAGCTTGATGCGCCTCTGCTTGAAAGTCTTGGCAAATTTCTCTAGTTCCTCAAGGTCACTGGGCTCATCGGCTCCTCCAGAGCTGGACAAATGCTTGGGCACTGGGATATGCTGGGATGCTTCCAGATGGGATTCTAAAGATGATCCTGGTAGCCCAGGGCGTCCTACAGCCTAACAGGAAGCACAGATTAACAGTTCAAATCGTATTTTGTTATTCATCAGCAGGGCACCCACTTAGAATATCTCTAGGTACAACTGTAATAAATACTCTATAACTGCTAAAATAATGAACAAATATCTTGGAGAAAGTGCAACCAGGGTGCTCCCTGGAGGCAAGGATGGTGAAACTTGTCTCACTTATTTTGGGCATATTGTTAGGAGAGATCAGTCCTTAGAAGAAGACTTGCTTGGAAAAGTGGAGGGTCAGCAAAAGAGAGAAAGACCCTCAATGATATGGATTGACAAAGTTACTGTATTTACTGTATGTATGGGCATGAGTGTATCAGAGATAATGAGGATGGCACTGGATAGGGCAAGGTGCAGATACACTGTTCATAGTGTTGCTATGAGTCCTAGTTGACTTGATAGCACCTAACAACAACAACATGATGTAAAAGCGGCAATTGGCATTTCTGTAAAGACTTAGCAAGTGATAAGAACAGCTGGGACAGAAACCCATTTGGGGTGGGAAGGTGGCCTTTCTGAGTTTTAGTCTATGACTCACCAACTCTGCAGGTGACTTCCTCCTTCCAGTTTTCCCCCATAAAAGGAGCTAGCAGAGTTGTTTACAGATTTCAAAAGCAAATCTCATACTGGAATTTGCTAAAAGTTGTTCGTCTTGCCTGTTCTTTTCCACACATCAAGGTAAGTAAAGTGTCTGACCAGTATTAACCAAAGTTGAAGAGTGTTTCTGAGAATGTATCACACTAAAAGAAGCTCCTTAAAACGTTAAATTCTTTTTTTTTAAACGTTAAATTCTAATGATTAATCTTTTACTTTCAAAACCACCATTTTATTGCGTGAGAAGACTTTGTGGTTTTGTTAATAAAATGTTGTCCACTACTATCGAAAATATATCTTAATCTTATTAGTGGTTGTCAGAAGATATGTGATGTTCATAGAAAAAGAAACCCTTTAACCTAGAATTCTTGGTGTGCCCAACTGGTAGGGAATGAATCCAACTCATCAAAACACCTTTATTTTTCTCAAAGATGACATGAGTCCAGGCCCAGGAACCCAGACATTAGGTCCAGGCCCAGGGTCACTGTGGTGATAACTTGGGCTACGTCAGCCCTCTTCTTTCTCCTCAGCATTCACAGACTGGACTTAGTCTTCCTCCTCCTCTCTTCCAGAATATCCAGGCTTACCATGCAGGTAGGCATCCTTAAGATGAAGAAGGTAAAAGGGCCAGAAAGAAGTAAAGACATTTTTTCCCCCTATAGAGGGTCTTTTTTGAACAGAATTGGGTGGGGGTTTTTTTTGGTTTATTTTTAAAAACAGAACTGTTTGAAACAAACATGGATCTGGACTCATTTTGGGTCCAAATCATAAGCTCAGGAAAAAGCCTCCGTTTCTTTTGTTTTTTCCCTTTTCACGAATTCCTTTGTTCTTGCATTTGAGAAACACTTTTCCCTGCTAGAGTCTTCCATACCCTCCACATCCATTCAGCTGTCAAACTACATTGATTTGACTTTTCAAAACACATCCCAATCTATATTCTCTTCTCTGTGTTACTGTCACATCCCTAATCTAGTCCCTTATTAACCAACCACTGGTTGATTTTATTAATCTAAATAGTCTCCCTGTTGCCATTCTCTCCATGCTGTATGATAAGGTAAGAGATGATTTTTTATATTCTCTAAGATCTCTTCCAACTCTTAATCTAAGGTGAGGACAATGTGAAGAGAACAGCCCGAAGTGAAAGTATACTGGTGTCCCCATTTCTTTCAACCACTAGATGGCACCCGCGCCCTTCCAAGTGTCTTCAGTGGGCTCTCTAGCCCTCTCTGTAGGTGCTCAGGAGTCAAGGGGCTCTTACCACAGAGACGTGGCATTATGGTGTCTGCAGTCTTTTCCTTCTAGCTTGCACATGCATCTGCACAAAGCCATTTCATACAGCTGTGCAAGTTATTAGCCACACAAGAGCACTCAGATAAGGGAAGAGGCAGCCAAGACACAGCTCATGCTGCTGTTGCCAAGTCATGAACCTGAACATGAGGCTACATCTAGCCTTTTCCTAACTGGCACAAAGGTACTGTGTGCAGCCAGCTCAGCTCTGCAAACAGCCCTGCTCCGAAGTCTTTGTTTGTCCTAACCCATGTATGTGCCTTTAAGAGAGGTCCAGGAGGCAATGGTAGTTGAAGGCTGGGATTCACACCCTCCATGCTAGTGATGCCTTGTGCACAGTAGAGACTTATGTGTTGCAAGGATGATGAACAGGTTTTAGCAGGGATTTCAGGATGACAGAGACAGAAAGGAAGAAAGAGCTAATGACTTACTTCCAAAAACTAGCCAGTGAAAACGCTGCGGATCCTAACAGTGTGACTGTGACTGGTCATAGGGATGGGCAAGGAGTCACCACAAGTCAGGACCAACTCAACGGCAGGTGACAACAAGCAAGGTTTAGAGGGAAAAGACATGACCTCTGGCCTGGTAGACCTCTGGCCTGTCACTGCTGTTAGGTGCTGTTGAGTTGACTACCAGTCATAGCAACCCTGGAAGTTCTGGTGACTTAGTGGTAAGGAATTGCACTGCAAACGCAAAGGTAAGCAGTTCAAATTCACTAACTGTTCCACAGGAGAAAGATGGGTAATCTCTTCCGGTGTGATTTACTGCCTCTAAAAATCTACTGGAGAGTGAGCAATGGGTCTGTTACAACTCAACAGTACACAACGACAACAATGACGCAACCCTATGAATGACAGATTAGAACCTTGCCCTGTCCTGTACCATTCACACAACCTGCCATGGTCAAGCCCCCTTTTAATCACTGTGTCAATCCATCTTCTTGAGGGTTCTCTTCTTTCCAAGCATAATGTCTTTTTCCAAGCATTGGTCCCTTTTGAAAACATGCCCACAGTATGTGAAGCAAAGTTTTACCATCCTTCTATCTAAGCAGCCTTCTGGTTGCACTTTCTCTAAGACAGGTTTGTTTGTTCTTTTTGCAGTCCATGGGATATTCAGTAGTCTACATCAACAACCCAATCTGTCTTAAGAATAGATTTGATGCATTGAACACTAATGCCTGAAAACCAGATGAATTGGAGGATAACATCAAGGACAACACATAATCCATGAAGAAAGCAAAAGGTCTCAGGATGTTAGGCCTATGATACTTTGGTCTCCCAGGAGCTGGAAAGCACCTAGGCAGAGCTGATGGTCACCCTGTAGTACCTGCAAAGTTAGCTGACCTTTGGTTCTCAAAGGAGTGATGCTAAGGCCTGATCAAGGCTGAGCCAAGTGCCTGAGCACCAAAATCTCTGAGTTCTAATTTTTACTCCACCATCAATATTGGGTAAATCAGCAATTTGAATCCACCAGTGGCTCAGTAGGAGAAAGGTGGACAATCTCCTCCCAGGGGATTTACAGCCTTGGAAACCCGAGGGAGAGTCAGCTAAGGGTAGGTTCCAACTTGATGCCAATATGGTTGCAGAGAAAGCAGAGACTTGTCAGTGTGTCAACAGGGTTAATCCCCTGATGTTCCCTCTGCCTCCAGGGTTAAGTATCCTGCCAAAGGGATGAGAGAAGGCCAATGAGCTCCACCCTATCCAGAACTGAGGCATTCCTAGAGGAAACAGGAAGAATGTGGTTGTTTACCTGGGATGCCAGGCCTGGCCCCGTCTGAGGGAGGAGGAGGCTGCTTTGTTGCTGCTGGAAGGGGAGAAGATTTGGCTGCAGACCTGGGTGGCAGGGGAAGAACAAAGGCACAAACAAATAAAATCCAGGCCATCTGAAAGACATGCTCTACAACTTTTCAACCGATAACTGCCCCACCCCCTGCTACCTAATCAGGTTCCTCAACCCACCTTGAATGCTGTGGCGAGGCCTCCCTGGGCACTGCCAGGCATTGCCACACACAGGTGGAGGCAAATCAGACACCCGGATAAACACAGAGGTAAACAGCAGTCCCCAAACCAGTCCTTCTGCTTGCCTGCCCACCCACCTGGAGAGGTGCAAAGGAGGGTCAAGACAAGCTACTCTGGGACTTGAGAACCTGGGCTGGAGAAACCCAAGAGGGGAGAATACACAGTGGGTGACTATTGATTTCATGCTGGGACAGAGCATTTCCGTTTTGGTTTTCTTTTTCCTGCATGACAAGGAGCTGGGATGACTGCCAAGACTCAGATGAATCTGTGAGATTATCAAGGGCTAGAGTCATGTAGTTTCAAAGGCAGTGGACCGCTGGCCCTAAAGCTAAAGCAGAGCTGGATTTGGGAGGAAAGGCTGAGAGAGGAGGGAGCCAGGAGCCCAAGACCCCAGAAAGCCCTTTCGGTAGAGTCGGCCTGCTTTTTGCACTTCCCAAGGAACTCCTTCAGGGTCCCTCTCCAGGAAAACCACCGGAGAAGCCTCTGCTGTTGATCAAGGCAGATGGCCTCCTCTTGTGAAGCTCACAGCAAGGACTTCTCATTCTCACCACAGGAATGGGACCATCCAAACACCAAACAGATACTCTGTCGTCCCCCACCCCAACACTCTGTGGAGTGGGGAATCTGCTGGTCCCTAAGCTGTTGTGAGTCACTGATGTGCCTCACACCTACATACCTTTTCCTTATCAATAGGCAAGGAAGTTCTTATTAGGAACTCTGGACAGAGTTGGGAGGCCTGGATGCCAGTAGTAATTCTAACACTGATAATACATTTTGAAATGTACCCAGTCTTTTCATGTTCATTATTTCAAATAGCCCTCAATAACTTCGTGAGGTAGAGTTTTACAATTATCCTATTTTTTATTTTTTAAAATTTTTTTTTTAATGTAGGAGGAAATGGAAGGTCAAAGTAATCAGGTACATTTCCCAAGGTTACACAACCTGTGAACGATTGTATCATAAACTTGGTTTGTTTTAAAAAACTCCAAATTTTGAACTGTTCTTACTCCTCCACCCCACAGCATACTTTGACCTCATTGGCTAAATGCCTCTCCAGAAGTCCATGATTATATAGAAGTAAGTTTTATCTTTCCTTTAGCACTCCAAGAATAGTATATGTATTGACTAAGCAGCAGAAATCCTCGAGAGGAGATTCAAATATGTTATCATTTGTCATCACAATCAGAATGCCTTGGAAACTAAAGATAAGGCCTCTCAGCATATGCCAAGGAAATAGGGTAAGAGTGGCATTTTGTGTGGATTCTGGATTTCCAAAGCCTCTACATGAGATTTCAATGTCCCAGACTTGAGATTTTACTTCCTCCATCGCTTTTGGCTCAAATGGGGAGAGAAAGGAGAGAGAGAAGCATTTCAGTGCCATAGCCGAGAGCCTGGGCTTCCCTCAGATGGATTGTTCTAGTAGGTCACCAGAGGCGTGATATACCTACCTACCTGACACATGAGGGTCATTTTGAGGGATAAGTCAGGAAAATCACTCAGTAGCACTCTTGGCAGGGAGTATTAACAACTCCTGCTCAGGAAGTATTAACAACTGCTAAGATAGTCTTACCTGTTGGTTCTCTGTTAGGTCTTCCCTCCAAAATCCAAACAAACTCACTGTTGTTGAGTCCAACTCAGAGAGAGCTTACAGGACACAGCTTTGTTGCTCCTTAGGGTTTCCAAGGTTGTGTTTTCAGAAAGCAGTGTCACATCTTTCTCCCATGGAGTGACTGGTAGATTTGAAGTGCTGCCCTACTCTTGGGGCTAGCAGTAGAGTGTTTAACCATTGAACCACCAGGGGCTCCTTTCCCCAGTCAAAGGAAACCTGCACATCCTCTCACAGCCTGTGGGCGGCACTGTTGCTCTACCCGCACAAAGCCCTAGAGAAGCTCCTTGATGTTTGTCTGCATCTGCCTCCAAGACAGATTTCCAATGGAGTGCGGACTTGCCCAAGGGGCTTATCCTTTCCTGTGCCCCCACTCGGCCTTTGTACCTTCCCTCTCAACTCTCCATGAAGTTAGGCAGAGGCAAAGAAAGGGCTATACCAGGGTCTTCCTCAGGCCTGGGGTGGTCAAGCTCGTCTGAAAATTAAAGAGGTGAGCAGCCTCCTGTGCTCTGAACTTGGACTCCCGGACTTAGCAGGCAGCAGCTGACCCTTCCCTGGACTTGCTCCATGTAGAATGCCCTTGGGTTCTTACCTTGCTGCCCAGGCTGGGACTGAGAGAGCAGGAACTGGGACACAGACTGTAAGTGACCAGGAACCAGCACCAGCTGTTGGAGCGGATGGAGGGAAGTCATGTCCTGCACGTGGGGTGGGGGGACACAGTCATCGTAGAACTGACCAGCTCCAGGCACTGGCTCCATCTGCAGGCTGCTGATCTATCTCTGTATTTATGCTTTCTCCAGACTTAGGGTCTGTGGTATGACCTTGCTTTATGGCCCTCGTGTCCAACATACAGCAGATACTCATTAATCTTGGTGTTGTACAGCCTTGACATTCAGCCGAGTTGTGCCTTGCAACATGCTGCTGCTTAACTCTTACATGGTTGTTTAACTTAGTGTGTGTGTGTGTGTATGAGGCCACTGGTTTGACAAATGCCTTGAGGGGCAGAGTTTGTATATGACAGAGTTCGCAAAAGTTTACTTTTAAAATAATATGCAATTCCAATTGTTCTCTCATCCCTTTATTTTATTTTTTTTAAAAAGTCTAGCTACTTGATGGTAAATGTCTCCCCTGGTCTGAATCCTTCCTGGTGTACCATTGGTATGGGCAAAAGAGGAAGGAGTAAAGTATTAGTTCTTAATCTATCTAATTTGGTTAAACAGAAAAGTCCATTTCTCTGAAGGTCTCCCAGCAGCCCAGGCAATGGAAATGCCAGTCCCAATGCTTGGGGACCTGGGAGTGCCCTGTGAACAGACCTCAGGTCTCTACACCCCACCAGGCTGACCTCAGGTATGGGCAAAAGAAGATGAGTCAATTCTTGCTGCTTGCCATTGAACAGGAGAAGGACTCAGTGTTTGCTCCAGTCTTTAATATCTCTGGATGAGAGCTAACTTTTTTCTTGTCCAGGTGACCCACACACCACAAAAGGAATTATCCCAAGAATATGGCATTTTTTTTTCAAGATGCCTTTTTCTCTCCCATTACTGACATGCCCCTGTAATTCGGCTGTCATATAAAATCTGAGGGGAGGAACAATGGCTCGCTGGGATCAGCGATGTCTATGACTGTAGCAGGAGCTGCCCCTTAGTGTGCAGAGTCGCACTGTTCTGGCCATGCTGCTCCCTGTCTCTCAGAGCGGCAGGGACTGGCTTCTTCACATTCTCGATCATGCTTTACCTTTAAGAGGAGCTGACTTTTTTCACCTACTTTACCGCAGGCCTCCTAATCTTTCTGATTCCCTGAAGGGGTTTCTTTAGATAAATATGGATTAACTGTGTGCCAGGCTTCGAGGCCAAAACTTTTCAAAGAGAGCTTGAAAATACACCCACTGGCCCAGTGAGAGTCTCAGGGTCCCCACTGGGAACTTACCCCAGACATCTGGTTTCCAGGCATCATGGTGGGTCCCTGGGACAGGTGGCATGGCCGATGAGGGAGGTTCTGCTGCAGGGAGTCACTGAGGTCTTCGGTTTTAATCTGGAAGCGGAGGCAGAAGGGAAAAGTCAGTCCAGTCATGGGCCGAGAGAAATGGCAGCTGAGAGATCAAGGCAGGAGAAAAGTGGTGAACAGGGAGAGGAAAGAGCTCTGAGCTTGCTGGAGTGCAGCTGCACCCCACCACTGCACTCCCTGCCTGCTGTCCCCACCCGCACAGTCTGCAGAATGGGAACCGACTGGGAAGCCATTCTCGAGTCTGTGCTGGTTCAGTATGCTCTTCCTCAGTCAAGTGGGGAAAGATGGATATTTAACAATAAAACTTAATGTATTTGTTTCAATTCTGAGATTATGTTCTTCCTTACCGCCCCTCCCCCACCCCCAAGAGTGGAGCAGTGAGAAAGCATTTTCTTAAAATGCATGGTGGTATTCCCAAATGGTATTTACTTTCACTCCCTACCTCCCACAGGAATAACATGGGAACACTTCACTGCTCTCTTCAATATTTTAAATTTTCTTGTCCACTCAGTCTCATCCAGGAAATCCCGGTATCTGGAAGCCACTGTCCAGAGGGCTATTTTTCCTCCATTCCCTCTTGTTTACCACACCTCTGTGTCCCCTGCATGCAAAGCTGTCTCTGCCTGCCATGGCTTTGATACAGGTGGGGACATGTCTCCTAGCCACCACTGCAGTTGGAGCCAGAGGGGCTGTTGGTAGTTTCCAAACCTCTCCAAGCCCCATCACCTTCCTGTGGTGGCACAAACCACCCACTTGTGGGTTTCCCAGGTGTTGGCAGGCAAGGCAGGCAGCGATTCTCATGCCCACCCTGCTCCACCCTGAGAATCACGATCCTCCTGCAGCTTCTCAGGAAGTTCACGGCGGAGGGGAAACCAAGTGGCTTTCAATCCATTCAGTATGGCAAGAAACTGGGTGAAAATCATGCCTTCACAAAGATATCTCCAGTAAGACCCTCTGGAGGGGAGGTTTGGTTGCTCCTCCCTCAAGACAGAAACTCTTGTCCATGGAGATTCTGGCTTACACCACTTTCTCACTCTGTAATCTCTCTTGTTTGGATTAATTTAAACCACTGTTGTTGTTAGGTGCTGTTGAGGTGGTTATGACTTATAGTGACCCTGTGAACAACAGATTGGAACCGTGTCCTACCTTGACAGTAAGGATCTTCACCTTGTTCAAGTTCACTGTTGCAGTTACTGTATATATAACTCTATCTTGTTATACCTGTATCTGTATATATATCTATCTTGTTGAAGGTATCTATCTATCTGCCTGCATATCTCTCTCTCTCTCTGCCTGTATCTATTATCTATCTATCTATCTATCTATCTATCTATCTATCTATCTATCTATCTACCTACCTACCTAGTTGAAGGTAGAGTGACCCTCTTTTGCTGACTCTCTACCTTTCGCTCTTGCTCTAAGTAGGCTAACCCATTAGTCAATCTATTTACTCAACTTTCAGCTTCAGTTTGGACGAAGAACCACAATTGTGCTTAATCCCTGGGCTTTTGAATTCCTTTTGCTCGGAAGGTCTCACTGAATGACATTAGGGACTGAGGCATAGCTCATTTGCTAAATGTGATTCCTTGCATATAAAGGAACCCAGTGTGTGTTAACTGGTGTACGCAGAACCTGTCTCTCCATGGTCTCCAGTGCAGGACAGAGAAAGAGTGAATAGAGAGCGAAGCTGCTGGTCTTCTAGTCCCCACTCTGACTTTGAATTCCCATCTCACACAAACTCACTCCCTGCCATCGAGTCGGAACCAGCTCACAGCTGGCGCTTCAGTGGGTTGCCATGGCCGTCAATCACTCAGGAGGAGACTGCCCAGACTTCTCCCGTGACTTACTATGTAACTTCAAACTGCTGTGGTATTCGGTTTCCCTGATGCTGTGTGATTCCATGTGATTTCCTTCACCCCCTTACAATCTGAGAAAGCTTGTCTAAGCTTTCTCTAAGCTGCCTAAGCTGCTGCTGTTTTTCTTAGCTAAACTATCTCAAAGAGTACCGAGAAGACTGTCTGCACAGGAATTGGCAAGAACACTCTTCTTCCAGGGATTTGTTGTTGTTATGTGCCATGGGGTCAACCACGACTCACAGGGACAGCACGAACTCTGCCCTGTCCGGTGTCATCCTCATCATTTTGGCAACCTTGAGCCCACTGTTACAGTCACTGTTTCAATCCATCTTGTTGAGGATCTTCCTCTCTTATGCTGACTCTCCACTTGTCCAAGCTTGCTGTCCTTCTTCAAAGACTAGTCCCTCCTGACAACATGCTTGAAGTATGTGAGACGGAGCTTCACCGTCCTTGCCTCTAAGGAGCACCCCGGTCACACTTTCTTCAAGATATATTTGTTTGTTCTTTTACTAGTCTATGAGATATTCAGTACTCTTCCCCAACCGAAAGACATTGATTCTTCTTCTGTCATCCTTAGTTATTGTCCAACTTTCAGATGCATAGCTAGAAATTGAGAAGACCATGGCCTGGATCAACCTTACTCTTTAAACTGACATCATTGCTCTTTAGCATTTTGGAGAGGTCCCCCTGACAGCATATTTTCTCAAAGCAACACATCTTTTGATCTCTTGACTGCTGGTACCATGAGTGTTGATTGTGAATCCAAGTAAGATAAAATTGTTACTGTTTCAACCTTTTCTTCATCCATCATGATGTTGCCTGTTGACCCAGTGGTAAGGATTTTTGCTTTCAAGGATGGTCTGTACAAAGAATTCTCTTCTCTCACCCAGGAGCCTCTTCTGGAGCTTTGGAAGCAAAGAAAGAAGGGGTTGGGCAGGAAAGAGAGGTAGGGGAAGCAGCACTGTGAGTGACCTCCATATCCCTTCAACCCTTCTCATCCCCACTTGGTACCTCTTCTAAGAAGCTCTCTCAGATCCAGGGAGAACTTTGCTAGTAGATTTTTTAAAAACAGACACAGATGAAAAGTTATTTAAAATAACAACCACTACCATCATTACCTCTTCAAGGGTTGCTCTGAGGAGAGATTTTAACTCAGTTTAAGCTAAAGATTTTTAGGCCAGCCTATCTTCTCCACCCCTTCCCTCCCCTCTTTCTTGCCCCTGGGGGTCCCACATCTCAGAGGAGGGGAAGTGAAGCAGGATGGAAGAGAGGCTGCAAGGGGTGGGGGAGAACAGGGAGAATGGGAGGCTGAAGTTGTACTGTGGAGCGACCCCTAAGGCAGGCAGCTTGGCCAGGTTCCAGCTCATAGGAGAATGGCAGAAGAGCCTCATTATGCGCAGCCAAGAGATAAGGAGGTGCAGCTATGACAGAGCTCAAAAGCATGCGCTTTGCCTCCAACCTGACTGCTATCTGTTAGAATCAGTGCCAGCTCTCCTGCAACACTTAATTTCAGAAACCAGCACCATCATAAAAGAAAACTCACCCTTTCATCTGCTTCCTGGATCAATTGCCTTGCAAACTCTTTTTTTTCACCCCTTTCAGGTGGGGTGGGGGACACTCTGGACCTCCCAGTTCTGAAAATTAAGTACCTCACGGCAGCGTGGAGTCCTCTGGGTGTGAATTATAGGTTTTCTGATAACCCTGTGTATGAGTCTTCTATTTGATTGCTCCATAGACCTTTGACTCGTTCATTTTTCATAATTAGTTATTCATTGGGTGTGAGCAGCCTGACAGTTACCTCTGTATAAGACTGTCCTAGGTACATCACATTGAAAGATAGCAGGAGATTTCTTTCCCAATGGCAGGCTCCAAAACTTTCAATCTCAACTCACGTTGGGTCTCAGAAAGGGCAGCACTGGAGTAAAGGAATAATGGAACTGGAGGAAAAGCTACCTCCAACTCCCATCGCCTCCAGCAACACTTCTTGGACACTCCCCAGGGACTAAGACACTCATAAATTAAAAAGAGAGTCTGTCCCAATTCAAAACAATCCCCTTTCACAGATGTCGAGTAGAAAAGCCTGGACCGTTTCCAGACTGGGTGTTGGCTGTGGACCTGGGAGATGCGATAGAGAGGCTTCTGTAGAATCCCATTGACTTCTAATGTAAGATCCTGAGGCAAATTGGATGAAAACTTGACTTCTCCCATACTTGTGAAAACCCAACCAAACCCCCAGCCTGCCTGGAACCAGGAAGACTGTCTCCAAGGTCTCTTTGGCAGCTCTTCTCACGCAAATGGAATATTTTTCCAGGCTCTATTTGGGATGGATTAATCCCAAGGGCACCGGCCACCAGAGAATGCTGGGCCCTGCTGTAGATCAGCCTATCTAGCTATTAGACAGGCTTCATTGGTTCAGGATCTTCTCCACCCACTGAGCTGTAGAAAGGTATTTCACCAAGTCTTGGGCAGTGACCAGGGATGTGAAAAGGTATCATACGTGATTATCCTCTCTAATCCCAGTGAACTCCCTGACTTATCTACTTTAGAAAGCAGTAACCTCTTTCTGAAATAGAGAGCCCCTTTCTATTGCTTTCTAAAATAGACAGGAGGTGGAAATCCTTAGGACTCTCCTTCCTGAGAGGAGTAGTCCTCTCAGCCAGGAGGACGAAGGGCAGCATTCACCTTCTCATCTCATAGAAGGCCCTGGAGCTTCTGAGATGGTACAAAGTGCTGCAGCAACACAGGGACAGGGAACAGCCACCTGACCCTCCCCTGTGCTCCTTCTACAAAACGTCCCAGCAGGAGTGGGAAAAAAAGACCAGAGTTGATAGGAAAGGTGATGTTCCAACCTAGGTGTAAGTGACCTGGGGCCTCCTTACTAACCGTCTGCTTTAGGGTCAGGACATAAGGACCCTCATGTTTCCTAGCCCCTTCCCCAGTGGCATTTTCACATGGTCCTCTTAGGGGCAAAACAGCCCAACACTAATGAATATATCACTCGTGATGGAAATGATCAAAGCTGTTGTCCCAGTTGCATAACTCGTTTGTGGAAAGTGTTTCATAAACATTTCACAAGAAGGAGAATTTCAAAGCATGAACGTCTCCCAACCTGCCTTCAATTACAGGCAAGGTGTTTTTCCCCCTCCCCCAACACCGACTTCTCCCCAGCAG